ACTTATTCTAGATATCTCTTTTAACAGTAAACTACAAATATATGTCAACTTATTCTAGATATCTCTTTTAACAGTAAACTATAAATATATGTCAACTTATTCTAGGTATGTCTTTTAACAGTAAACTACAAATACATGTCAACTTATTCTAGATATCTCTTTTAACAGTAAACTACAAATACATGTCAACTTATTCTAGATATCTCTTTTAACAGTATATTACAAATATATGTCAACTTATTCTAGATATCTCTTTTAACAGTAAACTACAAATACATGTCAACTTATTCTAGATATCTCTTTTAAAAGTAAACTACAAATACATGTCAACTTATTCCAGATATCTCTTTTAACAGTAGATTAAAAATATATGTCAACTTATTCTAGATATCTCTTTTAACCGTTAATTACAAATATATGCCAACTTATTCTATATATCTCTTTTAACAGTTAATTACAAATATATGCAAAGTTATTCTATATTGAATTACCATCAACAGGTTATTACTGAGTAGGTGACTGGCATTTATACAAATATACGTCAACTTATTCTAGATATCTCTTTTAACAGTTAATTACAAATACATGTCAAGGTATTCTATGTATCTCTTTTAACAGTAAACTACAAATACATGTCAACTTATTCTAGATATCTCTTTTAACAGTTAATTACAAATATATGCAAAGTTATTCTAGATATCTCTTTTAACAGCAAATTACAAATATATGTCAACTTATTCTAGATATCTCTTTTAACAGTTAATTACAAATACATGCCAACTTATTCTAGATATCTCTTTTAACAGTTAATTACAAATACATGCAAAGTTATTCTATATATCTCTTTTAACAGTTAATTACAAATACATGTCAACTTATTCTATATATCTCTTTTAAAAGTAAATTACAAATATATGTCAACTTATTCTAGATATCTCTTTTAACAGTAAACTATAAATATAAGTCAACTTATTCTATATATCTCTTTTAAAAGTTAATTACAAATACATGTCAACTTATTCTAGATATCTCTTTTAACAGTTAATTACAAATACATGCCAACTTATTCTAGATATCTCTTTTAACAGTTAATTACAAATACATGCCAACTTATTCTAGATATCTCTTTTAACAGTTCATTACAAATACATGTCAACTTATTCTATATATCTCTTTTAAAAGTAAATTACAAATATATGTCAACTTATTCTAGATATCTCTTTTAACAGTAAACTATAAATATATGTCAACTTATTCTATATATCTCTTTTAACAGTTAATTACAAATACATGTCTACTTATTCTAGATATCTCTTTTAACAGTAGATTAAAAATACATGTCAAAGTATTCTAGATATCTCTTTTAATAGTAGATTACAAATACATGTCAACTTATTCTAGATATCTCTTTTAACAGTTAATTACAAATACATGCCAAGTTATTCTATATATCTCTTTTAACAGTTAATTACAAATATATGTCAACTTATTCTAGATATCTCTTTTAACAGTAGATTACAAATACATGTCAACTTATTCTAGATATCTCTTTTAACAGTTAATTACAAATACATGCCAAGTTATTCTATATATCTCTTTTAACAGTTAATTACAAATATATGTCAACTTATTCTAGATATCTCTTTTAACAGTAAACTATAAATATATGTCAACTTATTCTATATATCTCTTTTAACAGTTAATTACAAATACATGTCAACTTATTCTAGATATCTCTTTTAACAGTTAATTACAAATATATGTCAAAGTATTCTAGATATATCTTTTAACAGTAGTTTACAAATACATGTCAACTTATTCTAGATATCTCTTTAACAGTAGATTACAAATACATGTCAACTTATTCTAGATATCTCTTTTAACAGTTAATTACAAATACATGCCAAGTTATTCTATATATCTCTTTTAACAGTCAATAACAAATATATGTCAACTTATTCTATAGATCTCTTTTAACAGTTAATTACAAATATATGTCAACTTATTCTAGATATCTCTTTTAACAGTAAACTATAAATATATGTCAACTTATTCTATATATCTCTTTTAACAGTAAATTACAAATACATGTCAACTCATTCGAGATATCTCGTTTAACAGTAAACTACAAATATATGTCAACTTCTTCATCTGCCATTACTGTTAATGGTACAGAAATAGAAATTATAAAGGTTTCTAACACGGAGTTCATTTTTTTTAATAGTAAGAGTGAAGTGACATTAGTGTCTTCTAAAAAAATGAGTGTAAACTGTTTCACATACCATATACCTTGAAACTATGCCAACTTGATTTTATTCCCACTGTGCAATATTAGTGATGTATAATGTAAAACTTAACTGGATTAGGAATTTGAATTTATTTATTTAAAAACTATTAATTTTTTAATGGCCCCTTAAGGCATAAAAGGAAAGGGTAAGGCAATGGCGAAACATGTAAATTTCAATGGAACGATATACGTTAATTATGATGAAGCTTGGACGAAAAATGTAAAAGCTCGATCATAGATTGATATGATACAAAGTATAAAACGTTTGGCCATATAGCAGGATTTGACACAAAGCAAAATATCAATGATACTGATTTGCAAACATAGAGACATTTGCTAATATAATGATACCATTAGTGTTTGAAAAGTAGGAATATTCAACTTAAAACCAAACTCCACAGATCTTATATTGATAGTGACTTAGCAATCCAGAAAATCAATCAGAGCTAAGATTTAACCTCACTGATATCCAGTACGGTATGACCTAGTGGAAAATTAACTATACCATTTATCTTCCGTCCTTGATTGGCTCAATGGTTAAATGACACGAGGCTTGTTTTTATTTCCATTTCAACTGCTTTTAATGAAATATGGACCATTCAATTGAATTATGCTTCAGTTCATTGAGTTTACCCTGATACTGATATCCTGGTGAGGATTTTATGTCCTAAACACCTTCAAATCGTTATTGCAGGGAAATCATTCAGCAATGGCAAGTTCTATAGAGCTTAATATTTTGAAGTGCATTAGCAGAACTTTGACGGTGGCACTTTTAATTGAACTGATGTGTTTAAAATCTCATTTCATGATTCATTAGCCGATAATTTCTGTTGTCAGTCTGTCGTTTTTTTAAGAAACTTCAGACGGGAATTGTACAAGATTCCTGTAGGTCTTTTGATACATCATGATATGATAATGAATGTGTTATCTAGTAAACCATCTAGATACCACGTCCGCCCAATATGAACTCACTATCTGTTGGCATAATTATTAGGTCAGTGTGGTCAGTTAGTCTATTCGAGAACATTCCACAGTTTAATGTCAATAACAAAACCACACAAATTATTATAGAAGACAGAACAAAAATCCATTAAACTTATTGGCCCTCCAGAAGAACACTTCAATAGATGGAACACGCGCCTGAGATTCTCATTGGTTCAAATGTAATGGTTTAGCCAGTTGCGTTAAGGTTGCTGCAAACCAGTTTGGTCTGCATTCCATTCCAGGTGGCCACCAGATACAAACCAACAACACCTGTGTTTGTGGCTATATACTGTATCTATAGTGTGGTTAATCTGTTTCGATAGTAATCTAATAGTTTATGGTAACACCTTGTTAGTTATCTGGTCTTATAGAACACCTTCCCCAGACATAAATATTACAACACAATGTTAAATATTTAACCTTCAAACAATGCCCACAGGCATGACTAAAACATGATTAACACCACAAATATCTGTGTGAATGATAAAACCAAGTGTATTAGCTAGCCAAGAATGGTAATGAATGGAATACACCTACGTTTTGTGATTATCAGATATACTGCAAATCGAAAGTCCATAATTCGTATAATGGATTTCGTATACGATTTTCTTGGGTAATGCATGATGTCCATTGGAAATGTGGGTTTTCTCAGATTATATTTTTGTGAATTAATTTGATTTGTATAAGCTAGATAAAAATGGTATATGTATCATTAAATTTGTTTGTAAATATTAGATATCTTTGTACTTGTACTGAAACTTAAATACCCAAGGAAAGTCCGTAGTCCGTGGGTACCTTATAATGACCAATGGTGATGGGAAACGGACGTAATAAACGTATTTTATGGTTTCTCTAAATATAATTTTGTGCATCGATTTTTATCTAGTCAAGATGATAATATAAACATGCCTGAAACTTTGATTGAAATACTCAGTTCTGCAAACAAATTTTTAAGTCTGTTCATTTTAATTTAATCATTTTCACTTGATAGCTTGGCGAAGTTTGAATAGATGGAACTGAATACAAGTCATGCACCTGATTTGTTTACATCATTCTTGACATTTCCTTAAAAAACACGTGCATTATCCATAAATCTATATTTTAATATCACCTTTTCTTCTATTTCAGATAAAGTCAAAGAGTGGTTGCCAAGGGAACGATAATAATAATGGCCTGCTTCCGGTCGGAGATTCACATTCCAATTAAAAGGGATGAATTGGATTTTCAAGACAGACAAATGCAGAGGTGGGGTGATATGGAATCACAAATGGAACAGAGAAAGCGACAATGGGAAGGTGAATTCGAAAAAATGAGAAAGGATTTTTTTACACTGAAACCCTCCGAGAAATTGGCGGGAAATCGTAAAGACAGTTCACAATTCGATAGTTTAAAATCATTCTATGAAGTCGATAGTGAGGGAGTTACAAAATTTAAGGTTAGATTTGATGTGAGTGAATTTCAAGCGGAGGAAATACAAGTTAAAATGCACGATAATAAAATAGCTATCCATGCTCGACATGAAGAGAAGAATACTTCCTCACAAGTAAGTCGAGAATATAGCCGCCAAGTCGACATTCCACACGATGTCGATCAAGATAAGTTGCAATGTTTAATGAGTAAAGATGGTATATTGTGTGTAGAAGGGCCTTTAATACAACAGTCTATTTTGAAGCAAACTGTTCTACCTATTAAATCTGATGCTCCTAGATCTTTAGATGTCGCAACACCAGTGAAAAATCCTATCATAACAGAAGCAGATGGTACCCGTAAATTACGTCTTCAAGTCGACGTCGGGGAGTTTAATCCTGACGAAATCATCGTTAAGACGATGGAAAGGAAGTTGATAGTTCATGCTGAACACGAAGAGAAAACACAAGGACGAACGCTGCATAAGGAATTCAATAAGGAGTATGACCTTCCAGAGAGTGTTGACCCTACGACCATATCAGCTTATATAGGAGATGATAAGAATTTAACAATTGAAGCTCCCTTAAAACCTATACAGCAACGTAAAGCATATTCTGTTACTCAAAGTCATGATGTGAAAAAGGTGGTTGTTAGCAAGGATTCGTCAGTGACCATTACTGATGGACAAAATAGGCCAATGGTCACAATAAGTGTGCATAGACGGTGAACGTAGTGTCGGTCCAGATAAGACCTGCTATAGACCCTTATGAAGCTTTCCTTTTGAACTAGTGCCCAGTGGTTTATATCGGACTAGAGGCATGGTATCAGACCGTAATGGATTTTGTTAGGACAGTGCAACATGGTATGAATGAATACAAAGAATCGTTTTGACACGACATTTGGAACGGACGCCATTTTGAGTTATGGACGCCATCTGGAATAATTGACGCCATCTTGGAATAAGCCAAACTGGTTTTGTTTTGTTTTTGTGCTACAATGTTATAAGAATTCTGTTGTTCAAAATATGCCAGTTAAATATTCAATGTGTTTTATGTTATCTCTAGAATGCATTGTTTTATGAAATATTTACAGCACTAGCTTTTAATGAATTTGGCTCGAACCCAACTAGTATATTTGAAACATTTTTTTTAAAGTGAAATTAATGCTGAGTGGTTCTATATAATGCACCACCATATCTTATCGCACCTAGTGAATTTTTATCTTTAAAATAGTTTCAAATCGGTTCCATTTGTGTGTTGCCAAGGAAACCAGATTGTGTGTGTATATTTATGGAATGGCAATTCGCGAAATAAATTTGTGCTTGAAAGAAGTTCACATAAGACAAGATAAGAAAAAAAGAAGATGATGTATTTTTTTTGGATAATGGTACTTGATCTTTCCGACTTACGGCTAACCTATTTCAGGTGTTGAACACTCAACTAGGCGTCACTCAGTCCCTCTTACTCTGGTTTTCAATTATCAAATAGATAGCTGATGTTTATTTACCACATGTTACACAATTCATAGTTATTGTTGGCAGAATCTCGACTTATTTGAAGGTCTAGGTGTTCTCGATATAGATATATGTTTTTCCAGTTAAAAAATGAATTACGTATTTAACGTAAATGCATCAAAGGTTCCGTACCATCAGATAAATAGATCATCAGAATAAGCATTTTTCTCGCATGTTTGGCACCGTCTTCGGTAGAATATGCTATTTCAGACTTGAAGAAAACCTGTTCTTGTTTCCAATATTCACGGGTATCAAAGTATATTGAAAGTTGACTTTATGGTATTATAAAATGTTTTCAGAGTGATGTTGGAGATATTTTCTGATCATTGTGACATACCTCAAGCAGATCATTATTGATTTCAAATATATGATATGAGTATTTAAATTCACGATACGGTTGACACATAAAAGATTGCGTATTCAAACTCTATTGAGAAATTTGCTTAATTGACAATTTCAGACCGTTCATAATTCCGTTTCATAAATCTGTGCGAATCGTCAAAATAACTTGGACTAATACCAACAGGCACAGTTCCTGTTATATTTTAAGGTGAATCAGACTATATTTTATGTAGCTGGCAAGGAATCCGAGTATTTTCTCCTACCAACTGTTGCTATAATGTAACCTTAATGTACTTGATATATATTTCCTTTGCCTGTTAACCTGCTGGTTTCACATGTAAATGTTTATAAAAATTATTAGATTCAAGCATATTATATAATTGTTGAATATATTTCTGCCAAATCTTCAAAGCAATACTTTCTTTCTGCCTTTGAATTAAGTTACAGCGTATGTTTATCCGACATCTCTTAATTTACTGGACGTAAATATACAAAATACAAAACTTATTTACATTTTTATTCAATTCGAGCCAAATTTAATACCTCATGAAAGATAATAATATTTAATCGTAAGATTATGTCTATAATTACAGAAAAATCTTTTCTATAATTAGGAAAACAGTAAGATCCTGTCTATAATTAGAACTACAGAAAGATCTTGTCTATAATTATAATTAGAAATACGGTAAGATCTTGTCTATAATTATAACTACAGAAAGATGTTGTCTATATAATTAGAACTGAAGCGAGATCTTGTCTATAATTAAACATACGGTAAAATCTTGTCTATAAATCTAAAAACGGTAAGATCTTGTCTATAATTGCAAAATACAGTAAGATCTTGTCTATAATTAGAACTACAGAAAGATCTTGTATATAATTAGAAGGTCCTGTCTTCTATAAGAAAAATCCGGTAAGATCTTGTCTATAATTGGAGAATAAAGTAAGATCTTGTATATAATTAGAACTACAGTAAGATCTTGTCTATAATTAGAACTATAGGAAGATCGTGTCTATAATTAGAACTACAGAAAGATCTTGTCTATAATGAGAAGATCCTGTCTATAATAGGAAAATTCGGTAAGATCTTGTTTATAATTAAAACTACAGTAAGATTGTGTTGATACATGCCATTAGAACTACAGTAAGATCATGTCTAAAATGAGAACTATAAACAGTAAGATCATGTCTATAATTCAAGCTTCTTTAAGATCATGTCTATTAGTCAAGCTACAACAACATCATGTCCATAATTATAACTACAGTAAGATCATGGCAATTATTCAAGCTACCATGTCAATAATTAGATAAACATTAAGATTATGTCTATAATTAGATCTGCATTAATAAAGATCTTGTCTACTATGAGAACTATATTAAGATCATGTCTATAATTAGAACTACAGAAAGATTTATTCCCATGATGAGAACTAAAGGAAGATCTGGTCTAGATTACAACTACAGAAAGATCATGCCCATAATGAGAGCTAAAGTAAGATCTGGTCTATATTACAACTACAGACAGATCATGTCCATAATGAGAGCTATAGTAAGATCTTGTCTAGATTACAACAAAATATATTTTGTCTATAATTAGAACTACAGTAAGATCGTGTCTAATTACAACTAAATAAAGATCAAGCCCATAATTAGAGCAAGTCGACTTTAAAACATATGAAACAATCATATTGACATTGCAATGAAAGTCCGCACTACTTTGGATAAAAAAATTGTGTGATGATAGAGAAAAATATATTAGGAAAGAATGATTTCCGACAATTATAATTATGAAAGTTGTAAAATATATGTATACTGTTTTGAATAAGGGTTATGTTAAAAACACAACTGTCAAATAGTTGTACCATGATCAATAATTTAGTTGTGAATATGAATGTTGTTATGTTGTATAATTTATTGAATGTGTATTTATTTAAGTTTAATTGTTGTGAATTGTTAGCTATTAATATTTATTTTATTGTTGATTGTGCTGATGATTACTGCATCACTTATTTTTTGTGAAATTACTTCAGATACCAATAAAATTACTGAACGTTGCTGGTCGCTGTTTTCTGTTAATGGGTAAAATGAATATAGTCAAAGGAAAGAAAACTATTTTCTAATTTCCTTTATAAAATGCAGAAATTATTATTGAATTTGCCACTGAGCATTGTTGGTGAATACTAGGACGTAAAAGGGTTTTGCACTTGTAAAAGAAATGGTTATGTTAGATCTGCATTATGATACTGAAACTAAAGAAAGACATCACCACATCATTGTGTAACATGCAAAATTTTGCTGTTGTTGTTCCTGTCCAATAATCACATGTCATGGACAAGTGCATAGCCTGGTACATAGGGCATGGGTTCATTATCCATTATTTTCTTATCCACGGACGGCGGAAACTTTATCCATGTTAGTTTTTAGACCTACTTCGCTACGATAGCGAAAGATAGAATCCTCCTGGACATAAGTACCGTATTGGGGTTCGAAATATATTTTCTAACCTTTGTAGGTGGTTGCTAATTTCGCAATTCCAATGCTCGTTTGTTCATTCAAAGGCTTAGGAACCTTCAATGATATTCCTTTAAATTCCTACTATGATTAATATACAATCCAGGTTTTAAATGGAAAATAAAACTAATTATTTCATGTAATAAAAGATCTCAGACAAAACATCTAGTGAACTAAGAGTAATATGCTTTTGAAATGTTATTGAAATCGGAAAATCTGCTGCTTCACGATTTTAAGGTGATAAAAGGCCACAAAAGTTGTCGTGCGATGTATTTTATGAGGGATTACAGATAGAAGGCAATCTAATGATTATTCTACTGTCTTGAACGATTAGATCCCAGCATCATATTCAATTACTTTCTACTATTGATTACTGGAAACTATGGTTACCAGATTTCATCATCTTACATAATTCATCTTGCCCCAGACTAATATTGACCAGACTTCATCCCAAGTTGCCGATACGTGTTTCGGGTAAGCAATCCTCATCATGACAGCCTTTTGAAATATGGAGGTGAACTTCAAATCGGATGCAACGTATGATCAATCATGGTGAATTCATTGAACAGGACCGAGAATATTCCACAATACGAATGAAGCGCATTTCAGAATACCGGTGTGTTTTGGGCATATAAACCTTAGGAAATCTTTTTGGAAATAATCGGTATCAGAAATATCAGCATTTAGTGAAATTTAATTTAACATGGGAGCCGCGTCCCTTAGTAAGGTGTTTGCTGGCTTACCTAGAAATCCGGGGTTTGATTCTGGTCGATATCGAAACAGTAGGGGCCTACCTTCAAAGTTTTCAACCATGCACCAACCATGCACCAACCTTTGTGATGCATATCTAGCAGTTTAAATAGGACAAAAAAACGAAACCCAGGCCTGAGAGCCACAAGACATTTCGCATACCGAGCTTAGATTTACTCAAATACATAATGTCCCTCGCACCAAGTGAAGGTAAAATGTGAAGATTAATGTGATAGAACCAGAAACGTGGTTATGGAATTGATTGATCACCCCCGTCACCCAAAAAATGGATTGCTCCCCTGAAAAATTCCTACAACCGACCCATTTCATTTTTCATTTCTGCAACAAAAGACCATAACCCATTAGGCCTACCCCTACGGATATATTTCCTTCCCTTCTGAACAATCTGGCTACGGGCCTGCTATTGATATATTTATTTCTTTAATACAATCAGTATGATAGTTTACCTG